TCAACACAAACATTTCCTCCGAGTGGCCTTTCCTGACCACTTACCTGGAATATGCCCTCCCCTCATTTCTCTCTTCTCACATTACCCTCTTGCTACTGTTGTTGTTTTTATTCTAGCAGCTGGAGGGTAAGGGGATCTGGTGTTATCAGCACCATGTTCTAACCAAGTGAACTAACCGGCCAGCCCTCATATGACTTTCTCAACTTTCTCATAGCATGTACTGAAATGTGAAACTACCATTGTTTTTTTAGTTTTCCCCCACACAACACACACAGCAGGCATTTAATAAATAATACATATTTATATTATTATTTATATATTATATATATTTCTAAAATATATTATGCTATAATACATATTTTTTTTATGATCTTTCACTTCACTAATTCTCTCTTCAGTTGTATCCAATCTGATGTTAAACCTATTCACTGAGTTCTTAATTTCTATTGTATTTTTCAGTTCTAGAATTTCCATTTGGTTCTTTTCTATAATTTCCAGTTCTCAATCTTGTATTATATGTCTTTGAATATATTAAACATAGTTATTTGAAAGTCTTGATTTATAATTCCATTATCTGGATCTTCTGTGTAACTGTTTCTATTATCTGTTGCTTCTCTTCTTTTTTGTTTTTGTCATGCTTTTTTGGTCACGTTGCCTTCAGTTTCTGGGGGCTGGGCTGTTGCTTCTTGTTCACTCTTACTCCTCAAGTGTAACCCTTCATGGTCCCAACCCAAAGCCTAGAGAGGGGAGATTATCAGGGCCTGCTTTCATAGGGTGTCTTGAACTACAGTTTTTCTCCACCTAGCCCCATAAATTTGTACAAAGCTCTGCTCAATCAGTTTCTCAGCTGTCTCTTCTGGAAATGGCAAATACTTTTAGGAGAAAAGCAGTTCCAAATGAAGGGTTTGCCACTCTCAGCTGCTGAATTATTTTCTGCATTGGTAATTTTTGTTTTGTTTTGTTTTTTTAGCAGCTGGCCAGTATGGGGATCCAAACCCTTGCCCTTGGTGTTATAACACTGCGCTCTAACCAACTGAGCTAACCAGCCGGCCCTCGCATTGGTAACTTTTCAAGACTGAGTTTGCCCAATAATGAACATTTACTGAAAGAATGAATGCAGGCGTGCAAGGCTTGGAGGTGGGAACGGATTCCTTACATTCACTTGTTCTTTTGGCAGTCCTTGACACTCTGTTCCATGTTCTGTGCTGTGTTGGCTTAGTGACAAGACCTAGTCCCAACTCTCAAGGGATCAGACCATATTTTTGGCAGACAATCTTTACAGCAGAGGTCAACAGAAGGGGCTCTGTACACTGAGGAATAACTCCCCCACTTTGAGGGAGTTTCTTAGGGGAATTGGAAAGTTTCCCCAGGGAAGGGGCTTCTGAGTTAAATCTTGAAGAATAAAAGAGTTTGGTAGGTAAAATAATTGGGGAAGGTCTTTCCTTGCAGAGGAAATACATGGGGTGTAAAAGCCGGTGACAACTGGGGAGATGCAAGTTGGGTGTGGCTGATGGCTAAGATGTGGTATATATGGGCTGAGGAAGGGATGCCTGGAACCCAAGACATGAGGCTGGGGAGGAAGGCAGGGACCTGGAATGTCACACTAAGGAATTTGCTCTTGATTCCTGGGAAGACTTATAGTGGGTGTGGACTGAGATTTCCCATCTTGCTAGTTAAGGTTTGTTTTGAATGAAATTTTATCAACTTAGCTGGTAACTACTGTCCCCAGCAACTGAGAGGCCTGGACAAAGAGCGCCCGGAGGGGACTATCTGCATGGGTCCCTTTCGGGTTTTCCTGCCTTCAAGGGTTAGATTGTAGGCAGGCTTCAGTGACACAACCATAATGTGAAATTTTAAGGGTTTTTAGTACTTACTAAAAAGTACTAAAGTACAAGGCATGCCTGGAGAAGGCCACATACACCCAGAGGTCAGGGATGTTTTCCTGCCTTCAAGGGTTAGATTGTAGGCAGGCTTCAGTGACACAACCATAATGTGAAAGTTTAAGGGTTTTTAGTACTTACTAAAAAGTACTAAAGTACAAGGCATGCCTGGAGAAGGCCACATACACCCAGAGGTCAGGGATTGCAGGCAGAGAGAGGGGACCCTTGGACCCACACCTTTATTGGGTCCAGCCCATCCAATATCTAGACAGTTTTCCCACAGGGAACTTTAATTGGCGGGTTTAAAGCAAGCAGCAGGCATAAGTTCCAGGAGATCATGCTGTGACTGAGGGGTGGTCACTTTAAGTTCTCAGGCAAATGTCTGGCCAGGTTTTTTGGTGTTTTTTTGGCAGCTGGCTAGTACTGGAAGTGGGGAGGGAATCCTAACCCATGACCTTGGTATTGCAAGGTTGCACTCTGACCAAATGAGCTAACCGGCCAGCCCCAAATGGCCAGTTTAAAGAAAGCTGTGGGAAAGCAGTGAGTCCAAGCTGTTAGGTGAGAGAGATGCCTCTAAGTCTTTATCTCTGGCCACAGTGGCAGCCATTCAGGTGGGGTAACTGTAGAGACTGTGCCAAGGGTGACTGGGCCCTGCTTTTGGTATGAAAAGTTAAACTTATGTTTTAAAATGGATGCTGAAGCAATATGAAATTATAAGTACTCACTACAAGGTTCAGAAGTCAGATTTGGGGAAGGTAGACAATGGGACACAGTACTCAGGAGATCTGGGTTCTAGCCCCAGCTCTGCCACTAACCTGCTCTTCTTTGGGCCCTCAGTTTTCTCATCTGTAAATAGGGATTTCTCAGGACTCTTTTAGCTTTGTGACCAGGATTCTGTCCATCCAGATGTTGTCAAGACAGAATGAAACTACTCAGAGGGGAGGAGAGGAAAAGGTTTGAAGCCTCTACTTCTTTTCTCAGGTACTGACAGATGAGCATGTCCCTCCATGCCCCAAGTCCTAACGACCCTCAAAAATCCTTCCAGCACCCTCAGGACTGCACCAGTAGCAGCAGCTCAGCCTCACACCACGGCAAAGTCTCAGGATGTGAAAATGAAGTCCTGGGGTTTGTAAGAAAATGTTTACAAATACGAGTCTGGCAATGAGGTATCCTCACATCTCTCCAGGGAGGAGGAAGTACAGCACAGCCGGCCCCAGGGCGTACCCACCCAGGTGCCTCCTCGTAAGAGGGGAGACGATTGCCCAATGTGACAGAGCCAGTTTTCACATTTTGAGTGCAGAATGATCAGTAGCAATCTTGGACTTGAACATGGGCCTTCTGTCTCCTGAGCCAATACCCTTCTGGCACCTGCTGCCTCCTGGCTCTCAGGAACCCCCCAAATCGCCCATCCCCACAGGTACACCCTAGGCAGCTGAGAACTTGAGTCAAGGGTGGGGAGAGACCTCTGGGTGAAGGAGCAGAGGGTGGGAGCGCTGGGTGGTCAGCGGCTGCTGTCACTTCCCTGCCTACCCACCTGCCCCCTCCCTCTCCACTTTCTAGCTTTCTCTCACCAGTCTTGACTTTCAGTTCTTTTTTCTTTAGAGCTGGCCTCGACCAGGGGCTAGGGGCCCTTAACGGCCTATTCGAATTTTTCCTAGGCTTGTAACACAAGGCCCAGAACAGTAGAAGGTGAATGAGAGGGGATTTTCCCTTTTCTATCTCGCATGTAAATGAGACACAAAATAGGCTAAGGAAGGGAGAGTGGGTGAGGCAAGAGCTGGGCTGCAGAGCCAACCCGTGGGTCCTAGTGTGCAACGGGAGCAGAGAGGGCAGGGGATCGATACTTAACGGTGAATTCCAGGGCAGCCCCAGAGGTTACATACATGGCGTGGCTTCAGACAGACCTGGATTCAACTTCAGATGATATTGGCTCCACCATTTACATTCTTGGGCAAGTCACTTAATATCTAAACCTCAGTTTCTTCATCAGTCAAATGGGGATAATTATAAAACCTACTACACAGCATCACGGAGAGACTAAAGTGGCAGGATGTATACGGAATGGAGCCCCATCCAAGCAGCTCTGCCATCTGTCCCATTGCCCACCCCAGCTGGGACTTTACAACCACCCCGCCACCCCAAATCCCCTTCCACCGCAGTTCAGCCACCTACTTGTCCCTCCACTAGCTCCCCTCCCACCCATCCTAGCAACCCATCTGTTAGTTTCTTTACCCAAATCACAAAATGCTAGGTCTTAAAAGAAATAATCCATTTCCGTCTTCTCACTTGGAAAGAGGAACCTGAGGCCTACAGAGAACAGCCTAGCTAAGAGCTAGGTTTCTTGATTCCTAATCCAGTTCCCCATCATTTTCAAAGAAACCTACCATCCCTTCCTAAATCTTTCCCAAGCCTTCATTCAGAACCTGTGGTGCCATCCACAACCTTATCTTGAAAACTAAATCTATCCCAGCCTTTTTCAGCTGCTATCTCCTACCCCAATCTTCTTTAAAAAAAAAAATTGTTTTTTTTTTTGGTAGCTGACCGGTAGGGGGATCCAAACCCACGACCTTGGTGTTATAAGGCTGGACTCTAACCAACTGAGCTAACTGGCCAGCCAAGGGGAAAAAAAATTGTTTTAAGTGTAATATTTACTCTATGTTGGCTCTTTAAAATGGGTTACTATTTCATTTAATCCTCTGGCAGAAACTTTGTTAGACTCAGAGAGGTACAGTTTCTGGCCCAGGGTCTCAAAGTTGGTAAGTGATTCAACCAGCATTCAATCCCCAGGACGCATGACTCCTAGCCCAGAGCCCTATTCGTGCCTGCAGTTGCCTCCTTGGTTTGCCTCCCTCCCATGGCTGGGATCTGGCCTGCTTGCTATCTAGAAGTCACTGCGGCCGCGGGTTCGGATCCTATATAGGAATGACTGGTGCGCTCACTGGCTGAGGGTGGTGCGGCCGGTTTCAAAAAGGACAAAAAAAAAAAAAGAACCTAGGGCCTTGTATCACCAAACCGCAGGGCTGGAGAAAGGAAGCAGCGCCCCTCCCCTGCGTGCAGTCCCTGCTTCCTCTCCCGTCCCCACCCTGCCTCACCTGCCTCTGGCTTCAAAAGCAGCCGAGCCGAAGAGGCCTGCAGACAGCCCCGTGCATCTCCAAAGCCGCTACCAGGAGAGCACCAAAATTCTCCCAAGATGAAGGGCTTCTGCTTCCTCCTGCTCACCATCAGCCTCCTGGTTATGATGCAGGTAAGAGCAGATCCTCAGAGTCCCTGGCACCCCGGCCAGGACTCCTCAAACTTGCTTGGCATGAGAGGGAGGGAATGCAGGCTCCGGGGGACCCAGCCTTCTCCTGTGGGAACAGAGGCAGACAGGCTCCCACAGGGGACCCAGGGAATCTTCTAGACCTTCTGGCTGGGGTCAGACTGCTTGAAGACTGCCCCTGAGCAGAAGCCTGTATGCATGGCTGGGGAGCACTTACAGGACGTCAGGCACTCTGGGCTTGGTTACAGTCCTGAGTGAGGATGGCATCGACCCACAGGGAGCCTGGGGACATGGTCCTGTTGGGAGGGGGCCAGGAAATGTCCAAGTGGAGCTTGCTCTGGTTCTGGAGGTGGTAGGGGCCACCCCCTGCCCCCTTGCCAGGGAGAAGCCTGGCTGTTTGGGTATGCAAAGAAGACAGAACGGTCCAAGTTCAGAAACAGCTGGAGTCGCGTCGACTGCTACTCCAGGAGGCAGCTTTGGTAGCATCCCATGCACCCAGAAGGGACTAGTTCAGTATAAGAGACAGGAGCCATCAAGTTCTTGATCAAGAATAGCTCCATCACCCTCAAAAACTGCTTCATCGGGCCGGCCCGGTGGCGCACTGCTACAGTGCGCCACTTGGGAGCGCAGTGGCGCTCCTGCCGAGGGTTCGGATCCCACATACAGACTGGCCGCTCACTGGCTGAGCGAGGTGTGGGAGCAACACCGAGGGTTGCGATCCCGTTGCCGGTCCCAGTCCGGTGAGGGCACGACACTGAGGGTTGCGATCCGTTGCCGGACACGAAAAAAGACAAAAAGGAAAAAAAAAAAAAAACTGCTTCATCTCCATCAAGAGCACTTTTAGTTGTAGTTTGATCAAGCGTTAAAGACAGCTTGAATCCCATCTGGCCATTTCCCCACCAGCCCATCCACGCCCCCCACACTTTGCCAAGTGACTTCTCAGTCAGCCCTATCTCATGTGACCTTCACAACCATGAAGAACTTCTCCCCACTCAGAAGGCGAGGAAACGGGGGTTCGGGGAGGCTGAGCCCCTTGCCGGGCTAGCAAGGTCGAGGGCTGGGGCTCGCCTGTCTCCCTCTATGCTGGAGGGGCTGATGGCTTGGGAGAGGTGAAAGGAATGTTCCGTGCAGGGTGGGCCAGGGAGGAAGCAGCACCCCTCCCCACCCACCACAGGACCTTGTGGTAGAAGTAGTGGTCATGTGGGACGGAGGACGGAGGACTGCTTTATGGGGGTGGGGCTGTGTTTTTAAATATAACAAACATGAGATTCAAAAGCCCCCTGAGCTTCCGCCACTTCTCTTGCAGATACAAACTGTAGTCTTGGGCTCAGGAAACCAGACCATCCACATAAGTGGGGCCCCAGCACTCAGCGCCACGGGCGGTGGCAGTTTCCTTTTCTTCTTGGCCAACATCCTCATCTACTTCTTCTGCCTCAGCTGAAGTGACACACCTCAGCACTAGCCCTGTGTCCCCTGAAACAGCTGCTACCATCACTAGCCAGAGAACGCCTTCCTAATCCTTGGAAGAGGTTGATGCCAGAGATCACCAGCTTGTAGAAACTGATAGTGCCATGGGGGCAATAGCCAAGTTGGGGAGGTCCTGATGTGGCAGGGAAAGCACCACCCAGCTGGGAGTCAATAAAGCTATTCTTGTATCTGGAGCGGGGTCCTGTATGTGCTCACTGGATGTCACCGGCGCCAGAAGCCAGGTTTGCAGCAGCACCAAGGAGCATCCTTTGCCCCCATCGGCAGGAAGGGGGCACCAGAGAGCTCCCAACCAGCTTCCCCACCCAGAAGTCCAAATGGGCCAGGTTTGCAGCAGCACCAAGGAGCATCCTTTGCCCCCATCGGCAGGAAGGGGGCACCAGCTCCCAACCAGCTTCCCCACCCAGAAGTCCAAATGATGAGGGCACGTCCCCTTAGATCACCTTGCAGGGACAGGGCCTAGAACTGGCCACCTCACCGTCTCTTCAGGTGCATTTGCTTCTCCTGTCCCTGTGTGTTTTGGAATGATGGTCCCAGAGATTTTACGACTCTGCCATCTGGACCCTGGACATCCCCAGGTTCAGACAGCCCCCTGGGTACTCAGACACCAGTACCTGGGGGTCCTCAGAATGACAGATTCAGGGAAATCCCCAGGTCCCGGAAGACCACCCCCCTCAGTCTCTGGAGTTCCCCAGAAAATCAGCCTCACAAGCACCCACCTGTCCTTTCTTCTCCAACCACTGGCGGCTGGAGAAGGATGAAGAGGCCACTGTCAACTTCCCACCCCCTCCCCATGACCTGGGAAGACAGGAAGGGCAAATGGCTGCTCTAACCACTGCTACCTCTCCTGGCTCTCGGGTGTTGGGAGCTGCAGAGAAGGAAGGGAGCCCCAGAGCAGCCCCCAAGGCCCCTCCCATCTTGCCTCTTCCTTGAGGACCTCAGCCAAGGGGCCAAGAAGTATCTGCTAGATCTAGATTGGAGGACAGAGGGAGGTCCTCCTCTTCTATGTCATGCCCACTCAGCTAGGTTAGGACCCAGACCCCTGCCCTGGCTTCTTTGATGGAAGCCAAACCTTTAGGCCTTGAGACCAGAGTTGGGGGAAGTGGAGAGGCGCCCTGGGGAAGGCCCTGTGGGGTGCGGCTGCTGTTCATCTCTCCTGACCGGCCCCCTCTGCCCCCATTGCCCTGAACTTCTAAGTTTTCACCTCTGGACTCACCTGCATCCCTAGAACATTTTCCTTTTGCCACCCTCTAGCTTGGCTGACTCCTTCCCATCCTCTCCACCTCAGCTGAGGGTCCCCTCCTCCAGGCAGCCTGCCCTGCACCCCTAGGTGGTTTAGGTCCCTCTCTGAGCATCCCCCCACTTCTGTTCTTACCCTGTCATTGAATGTATCACCCTACCTGTCAGAGTCTTCCACTGGACTGTGAATTCCCTGAGGGCAGGGATCAGGGGGCTTGGTTTGTGTTTGCGCCCCCAAAGCCCAGTGCCAGGCCTTGCTCAGAGCAGACTCTTAGAACGTGGCATTCGGGTGACTACATAAACGACCACTCACCAGTTAGTCTGGTCCCATGACGCCCTCTGGTGGCAGACGGAGGCCTTACATCTGAGCCACACCCACCAAAAAAAAAAAAAGAGCGGGGAGAGAAGAGGGCAAAGGGAAAAGGCAGGTGGACAAATCCCCACCCCCACCCCCACACATCAAGGTGCACAGAGACAAGGATATCAGGCAGCATCTTAGAAAACAGCTTATGTTACAACAAAAAACCCTATAAAAACATTTCATCCCAGCAAAAGCCACCTGGGGATTGGAAGGAGATGGGGAAGGGAGTTCAAAGCACGTGTATGGTCCAGATCTGGGATTCCCTGTCCTCGGCCAGCTCCCACAGCACCACGTGGTCTCGGTCGTAGCCCCGGCCACCTGGGGGTGGGGGGGGATTAAGAGATGGGGTGATAGTCAGAGAGAGCTGGGGTCTCCACTGTCCTCAGTCCCTCAGGTGCCCTCTCCCACATGCACATCCCACATTACCCTTCACGTCCAGGATCTGGCCTTCGAACATCTGGCTGCAGATGTGGCCCGATTCATTGATGCTCCACGTCTGGCGCGGGAGGCGACTCTCAGCCCACAGCACCACCTTGGATCCTGGGCTGGGGGATCCGATCACCTGCAGACTCATGGTGGGGGCCACCTGAGGCCCCAGGAGGTCATTAAGCACTGTTCCTCCCCACAGGGACTCCACCATACCTAAGACACCCTTGACACATCCAGCTTTGAATCCTGGCTCTTATGGACTGTAGCCCTAGGCAAGTCTCTTAATCCTTCTGAACTTCAGTTTCCTTGGGGATAGGAATCCCCGAATGCTGGTTTTTGTGAGGGTTCAACATGACAAACCATAAAAAAACTAGAAAAACATTAGCTCCTCCAGGAATCCTCCCATGATGGACTCCCAAAGAACAGGCTTTAGCATTATTAGATAAATCTCCACACATTTATTGGCTGTGTGACTTTCAGCAAATTACTTAACCTCTCTGTGCTCTGGTTTCCTCAGCTGTAAAATGGTAGTACAACAGGACCTGCCCTATAGTGCTTTTTAAGAATTATAGGAGGCATTCGTGTGAAGGGCTTGATGCAGAGCCAGGCAAAGGCAGTATTTCCTCTCGCTCCAAGTAAGAGACAAGACTTCTCAATGGCCTACAAAGACCTACACTCCCCATAACCTTTCTGACCTCATCTCTTGCAACCTCCCCCTACTCACTTCACTCCAGCCACTCAGGGGTCCTTGCTAGTCCTTGAAAATGCCAGGCATGTTCCCACCTCTAGGCCTTCACACCCGCTGTCCCCTCTACCTGGAATGCTCTCCCCTCGGACATCTGCATGGCTGCCTCCCTCAAAGGTCACCTTCTCAGGAAGGTCTCCCCTTGTCAGAGCTACCTGATACTCCCCATTCTCCTTTCTTTTTTTTAAAAAGATGACCGGTAAGGGGATCGTAACCCTTGGCTTGGTGTTGTCAGCACCACGCTCAG